TAAAACTATTCTTTCGAAAACTGTCACATAAATCTATTAATACTTTACACAGAAATTCATTAGTAAAACTTAATTTTGGTGACAATTCTACAGTTGTGCAAAAACATTCTAATGTCAACTGTTGCGTAAAACTATTCTTTTGAAAATTGTCACATAAATCTATTAATACTTTACACAGAAATTCATTAGTAAAACTTAATTTTGGTGACAATTCTACAGTTGTGCAAAAACATTCTAATGTCAACTGTTGCGTAAAACTATTCTTTCAAAAACTGTCACATAAATCTATTAATACTTTACACAGAAATTCATTAGTAAAACTTAATTTTGGTGACAATTCTACAGTTGTGCAAAAACATTCTAATGTCAACTGTTGCGTAAAACTATTCTTTCGAAAACTGTCACATAAATCTATTAATACTTTACACAGAAATTCATTAGTAAAACTTAATTTTGGTGACAATTCTACAGTTGTGCAAAAACATTCTAATGTCAACTGTTGCGTAAAACTATTCTTTTGAAAATTGTCACATAAATCTATTAATACTTTACACAGAAATTCATTAGTAAAACTTAATTTTGGTGACAATTCTACAGTTGTGCAAAAACATTCTAATGTCAACTGTTGCGTAAAACTATTCTTTCGAAAACTGTCACATAAATCTATTAATACTTTACACAGAAATTCATTAGTAAAACGTAATTGTAGTGACAATTCTATAGTTGCGCAAAAACATTCTAATGTCAACTGTTGCATAAAACTATTCTTTCGAAAATTGTCACATAAAACTATTAATACTTTACACAGAAATTCATTAGTAAAACGTAATTGTAGTGACAATTCTATAGTTGCGCAAAACCATTCTAATGTCAACTGTTGCATAAAACTATTCTTTCGAAAACTGTCACATAAAACTATTAATACTTCACGTAGAAATTCATTAGTAAAACGTAATTTTAGTGACAATTCTACAGTTGCGCAAAAACATTCTAATGTCAACTGTTGCATAAAACTATTCTTTCGAAAATTGTCACATAAATCTATTAATACTTTACACAGAAATTCATTAGTAAAACTTAATTTTGGTGACAATTCTACAGTTGCGCAAAAACAGTCTAATGTCAACTGTTGCGTAAAACTATTCTTTCGAAAACTGTCACATAAATCTATTAATACTTTACACAGAAATTCATTAGTAAAACTTAATTTTAGTGACAATTCTAAATACTTTACTTCATTAGTAAAACTTAATTTTGGTGACAATTCTACAGTTGCGCAAAAACAGTCTAATGTCTAATGTCGCGTAAAACTATTCTTTCAAAAACTGTCACATAAATCTATTAATACTTTACACAGAAATTCATTAGTAAAACTTAATTTTAGTGATAATTCTACAGTTGCGCAAAAACATTCTAATGTCAACTGTTGCGTAAAACTATTCTTTCGAAAATTGTCACATAAAACTATTAATACTTTACACAGAAATTCATTAGTAAAACTTAATTTTAGTGATAATTCTACAGTTGCGCAAAAACATTCTAATGTCAACTGTTGCGTAAAACTATTCTTTCGAAAATTGTCACATAAAACTATTAATACTTTACACAGAAATTCATTAGTAAAACTTAATTTTAGTGATAATTCTACAGTTGCGCAAAAACATTCTAATGTCAACTGTTGCGTAAAACTATTCTTTCGAAAATTGTCACATAAATCTATTAATACTTTACACAGAAATTCATTAGTAAAACTTAATTTTAGTGATAATTCTACAGTTGCGCAAAAACATTCTAATGTCAACTGTTGCGTAAAACTATTCTTTCAAAAACTGTCACATAAATCTATTAATACTTTACACAGAAATTCATTAGTAAAACTTAATTTTAGTGATAATTCTACAGTTGCGCAAAAACATTCTAATGTCAACTGTTGCGTAAAACTATTCTTTCAAAAACTGTCACATAAATCTATTAATACTTTACACAGAAATTCATTAGTAAAACTTAATTTTAGTGATAATTCTACAGTTGCGCAAAAACATTCTAATGTCAACTGTTGCGTAAAACTATTCTTTCAAAAACTGTCACATAAATCTATTAATACTTTACACAGAAATTCATTAGTAAAACTTAATTTTAGTGATAATTCTACAGTTGCGCAAAAACATTCTAATGTCAACTGTTGCGTAAAACTATTCTTTCGAAAATTGTCACATAAAACTATTAATACTTTACACAGAAATTCATTAGTAAAACTTAATTTTAGTGATAATTCTACAGTTGCGCAAAAACATTCTAATGTCAACTGTTGCGTAAAACTATTCTTTCGAAAATTGTCACATAAATCTATTAATACTTTACACAGAAATTCATTAGTAAAACTTAATTTTAGTGATAATTCTACAGTTGCGCAAAAACATTCTAATGTCAACTGTTGCGTAAAACTATTCTTTCGAAAATTGTCACATAAATCTATTAATACTTTACACAGAAATTCATTAGTAAAACTTAATTTTAGTGATAATTCTACAGTTGCGCAAAAACATTCTAATGTCAACTGTTGCGTAAAACTATTCTTTCAAAAACTGTCACATAAATCTATTAATACTTTACACAGAAATTCATTAGTAAAACTTAATTTTAGTGATAATTCTACAGTTGCGCAAAAACATTCTAATGTCAACTGTTGCGTAAAACTATTCTTTCAAAAACTGTCACATAAATCTATTAATACTTTACACAGAAATTCATTAGTAAAACTTAATTTTAGTGATAATTCTACAGTTGCGCAAAAACATTCTAATGTCAACTGTTGCGTAAAACTATTCTTTCAAAAACTGTCACATAAATCTATTAATACTTTACACAGAAATTCATTAGTAAAACGTAATTGTAGTGACAATTCTATAGTTGCGCAAAAACATTCTAATGTCAACTGTTGCATAAAACTATTCTTTCGAAAATTGTCACATAAAAAAGTATTCATAATTTACACAGAAATTCATTAGTAAAACTATTCTTAATTATAGGTGACAATTCTACAGTTGCGCAAAAACATTTTACATAATATAAAATTGTTGCACAAAACTATTTTTATGTAAATTGTCACAAAAAAACCCACATTTACCTATACTGAATGCAACAGATTACACTAAGTTTCATGAATGAGGTAACTATACATTCTAGTCCATTTCTGAACATGTTTACATGACTAAACCTAAAGTCTTTGATATAAACGAATAAACGAGGAAACGCACACACCTTCTTCATGAGGAAGTCGTTCATGCTGCGATAGTCTGCAGTGCTGGTGAGGATGTGCAGCGAGTCGTTCTGCCAGGCGGACGATTCTAGAGACACGCTACTGATCTTCACACTGCGTCTCCTCTTCATCGACATCATGCCCATCATCGGCTCACGGTTCTCCTTGCTGTCGCGTCCGCGCTCCGACAGTCCGGCCTGCTCCGGGCTTCCCAGAGGAGAGTCTGCGAGAGAGAAACCATAGTAGACAGGGCCAGTGTTGCCAACTAATTTTCAGGGGAAGTTGCTAAAGAAAGGTTGATTTGTTGCTAAAAGTTGCAAAATGACGTTGTGATGTCTCTGCGCAAAACTGTGTCACTACATCAAATCTCAGCAAGAAATATATTTTACATACACTACCGGTCAAAAGTTTGGGATCAGTAAGACTTGTAATGTTTTTTAAAGAAGTCTCTTCTGCTCATCAAGGCTGCATTTATTTGATCAAAAATACAGAAAAAAACAGTAATCTTGCAAAATGTTATTACAATATAAAATA